GGAATAAGGAAGGAAGTCATCACTTTAATTTGAAGCAAATAAAAATTGGAATTGCTGTTGCAAAAATACTTTAGTTTGTGAGGGAGATTAAGCACCGCAAAACCAGATCAGGTTCTTTACATTTCTGTGATCATACGTGTCCAGAATTTTAACTGTTTTATCTTCATGAGTTTCCAGTACATAACAACTAATGATAATGCTATTGGCATCTTGTCAGGCTGAAATCTTTCAACCAGAAGAGCTTTATCCTTGCTAGCACTATAAACCTTTCAGGGGCTAATTAGTGATATTATTTGCAGGGTATTTTGCTAGACTAATAAGCCCCATACTTATAAGTGGGTATTTAAAGAGGGTTCTGTATTCTCTGTAGCTGTCTCTCTCAATGCTAGGAAATTACATTTACATCCCTTTGAGTTACTGTTTTCTACTTGGCAGGCTAAGTGAGGTGAGACCCAGCGGCACCTGGATGGGAGGCATCCAGGGAAGATTAAATTTGCAGAAAAAGGTGTCATAGCACATAAAATAAATACGGACTTTTCTTCTGGGTCAGCAAGGAGCAGTGCTGGAGCATCGTACCACTGGCTCCACATCCCCGGTGTCCTTAGGGCATGACAGGCCTGCCCAGTCCCCAGGGCTCCCCCACCCTGCCCACAGCCAAGGCCACATCTCAGCCCTGGCCTGAGCCTGGACTTGCCTGGGCTCTTGGTTGGACCTGGCCACCATCTGCAGCTCTGTTGTGCTCGCCTCCTTGGGGGTGTGGGCCTTGCCTGGCCTGGGGAACCCCACAGCTCCCAGCTCCTGTCCTGCCAGGGTGATGTGCAAGGTCGTAACCACTGGAGAGCACTCAAACCCACAGCCTTTCTGCCACCAAAAAAAGGAGCATTATGTCCTGAGTCTTAGTCAGATTCCAGTCTGAGTGATTAGATTTGGGCTTCCCAAATTACTTGAGAGGCTTGTGTTACTGAAACTCATCTGTATGGAATCCACTTGGACAAGAATGAAGATTTTTGTTTTTTCTTAGGCCCTTTTTTCGGTTTTGGGTGGGTGTTTTTTTCTTTTTTTCCCTGTTTTGGGGGTTTGGTTTTTTTTTTTTGTTTGTTTTTTTTTCATTGGTTGGTTAAGTATAATTTTGGTTTTCAGAAAATGAAGCCCGTATTTATTTGTAGCCATGTGCCTACTAATGGATATGGAAGGGAAAGAGGTGTGCTGTGTGATGCCTACATGAAAGTTTTTTCTGGTTTGTGGATACAAAGCTTTGGCACTTTTTACGTAAAGGTATTTGGATTCTGGCAAGAAATATTTTCATGGAAGCATTTGGTCTGTATTCCTTGGTGGTTTTGAAACTGTTTTCCACGCTTGCTCCTTTCCAGGTGTCTTGTGCCTTTCCAGTTGGTGGCACTCATCTCTGGAAGCTCTCCTCAGTGGGAGCAGGTAGCCATAGCTGACTCTTACGAATGCAGCTAGAGTATGTTTTGTTCCCTGTACTGCTACTGTTGGTGACTTCAGCTAAACTTTTCATGAAAGGTGGATATTTTTTCCTACTTTCTATATTGTCATCTTTCTGGAAATTTCAGGAAGAAAGCTACATTGTAGTCTAGGAGGCAGGGGAAAGAGACCGCAGGGAAGAGCAGGAGACTACAGGAAAAAAAAAGAAAAAGGAGAAGAAAGAAAAGGGGCGAAGAATGAAGATTAATACAAGAGAGAGGTTTAGGAGGCAAGAGAAAGAGCATAAAGAGGTCTTGAATATTTTTCTGTCTGTATTCTAAGAGTATGCCTGTTGCTGTCTCCCCAGGAGATTTATGCAGAGCCCTGTGGAGAAGCAGCAGTGAATTGCTCTTTTGGATGCTAAGTGTAAAATTAAAGCTGGCAGGGTCTCAGAGCACAAGACTTGGAAGCTAATTGCTCCTAATAACATATTGATTTTCACAGTTCTTTGGCTTTGTGTCAGGGTGGTTTTGAATCAGCACCTGGTTTCTTCCTCTTCCCAATTCCAGGCTAATGGCAACGAAGCTTCTGGCTTTAGGATCACAAATAAATGCCCTCTGGTTCTTTTTGTCTGTACAGATCTGTCTGTCTTTGAAATATGGTTTCACCCATTGCCGCTATGCGTGTCTGAGACATCCAAGCATAATAACTAGCCTAAAAGTAGAAGGGTGGAAGCAGTGTGCATGTATTTTAAACTTGGGTAACTGTCCTGCTGCCTGTATTTATGGTGCTGAACAAAAGGATTATAGTCCCATTGCTGCAGATGGCTGATAGCAATCAAATGGATGCCTGTATTTGGATAGAAATCACCAGCACAGGTGCCTAGGAGGGTGAGGTCACCTAGTTGTTGCCATGTTACGTTCAGGCCTGAGCAGATTTGATGTTTGTGTTGCTGAGCTGTTCCATGCCTTCCTTGAGTTCTGGGCACTAGCTGTCTGGACAAGGAGATAGATTTTATTTGCATGACTGCTACTAGGCAATACTCTCCTCTGGAGGAATGTTGTCGTAGCTGCAGGGAATGGTCTGTTTGCAAGGAGATTTGCTGAAAAAGCTCCCAGATATTACAGATGGTGAGGATTTGCAAAGTGAGAATGAAATCTCTTTGTTTAAAAAAGATGTCAAGCGCATAAGTGGTCTGAGCTGTGCTAAGCTAAGGTCAGGATAGGGCACACACAAGAACAGAAACTTTTCATCTTCTATGGTTATGCAGAGGCTGTTTCAACTGTTCTAGGCTATTAAATTTTATTTGCTTAATTGTTACAAGTATTCATTGCCCCCTGTTTGTAACAGACTGTTCAGAGAAGGGACAGTAATATCTGATTTAGGCTACTGTGGAATGTCAGTTTAAACACTGTCTAGACTTCAGCAATTCTGGGTGTTCTTCAGGTCATTATTACATAAGTATAATAATAACAGTTGGGATTTCTTGTCTGAGGACAGTAATTTTCTGGCAGTGGGATCAGTGGAGATGAAGGACATGAATTCTTTTTGAAGGGAAGAGACTCATTGTTACAACACTTTTGGTTTGTTGTCTTCTAGTGTCTGCAGAAAAACATTCCAAACTTTCTGTTTCCAAAGAACCTAAAGTATGGTACTATGGAGAAGGAAGCAGCAGAGCTGGGCACTTGTGTCAGCTGCTCCCACTTGTAGTCCTGATCTTCCGACCCCTTTCTTCAGGTCCTAGGGCAAGCAACTGTTTCATGCAAGGCACATCTGAGCTGAAGGCGTCAAAAGAGCCATTTCATGCTTGACTGCCTTTTCTAATACAATCTACAGAGAGAGATGGTGGAAAGAGAGCAAGGAGGGTTTGTGTGTGCACACACTTTGCCTTTGAGTGTAGGTATAATATACAGTACATTTAGTTCCAGCTTGCAGCTGTGGGTGACAAGTAGGAGGTGCAGACGTGAGGGGGAAGAGAATTGCACTTTGAAAAGAAGAAACAATTCCCCCACCTTGAAAAAGAAGATTTCTTTCCTTCTCTCTTTCTTGGCTAAGCGAAGATGTGAGTCCCCAGGGCAGCACTGACAGCTGGTACCCAGAAGGTGTATGTATGGCTGAGTGGGTGTTGCATGTAGAGAGCTTTATGTGTACAGACCATGGCTGTGTGTGGGGAGTGCAGCTAAGAAAACAGGGATGCTGTTCACAGCCATGTTACTTTATTAGCGCTTCCAGAAAAGTTTTCTTCTTAATAGGTTTGTATGTCCCATGACCAGAGAGGTGCAGCATACCAACTATTAGCGCAGTGGGTTGCTGCACTAGCACAACCACAGTGATCCCCACCAAATGTTTTGTAACCATATAGAGGACTTCTCTGACACTTTATCAGCTTGATACATATATCCTTATTTATCACCTCATTTGCATATTTATTACACACTGCAGATCTGTTACTGGCCATTGTGGAGCCAGCCATGAGTCCTTTCCAGCATGGACATATGGCTGTTCCTCAGTTTCCCATCCATCTACCTACTCTAGCTTCTAACATTTAGGCTGTGGAGAGAAGGGATGTTCTTGTTCATGCATTAATATATTTATGTAGATTTGTAAATCTATGGATAAAAATGTTTTGGAGCATATTCCTGCACTAAAACAATGGTTATCATGCTGTAGTGGTTGCTGCAGTTCTATCGCAAGACTTCAATTCTACTCCCTTAGAGGACAATATCAGTTTGTGCATACAAGACCCTGAACAAATAGAGAATGTTAAGTACTACAACTCCTTTCCACAGCTGAACTTACGATTTTCTTTGACATCCTCAGAGATGATAGAAAAATACAATTTCTTTATTTCTTTCCTTGCTGGTTTGTGTTATTTGATTTTATTTTTTATTTTTATTTTCCACCTCCTGACTTTCATTGTGCCTCCATCTCCTGATTTTTCCTGTGTTTGAATGACACTTAAACTTGCAGTGGAGTTTGGTTTATTCCTTTCTTCATTTGCGTTGCAATGCCATCAGTTGTGTCAGGAGAGCTCTCCTACTAGTAGTTGCTAGTAAGGAGGAGAAAAATATAAAATCATAAAACAGCAGAAACCTGATGTAGAAAAGATCTATTAGGAAACTTGCTTCATACAATTGTTGTTTGTTCTTTGAAATGCTAGTAATGGAATGGAATTCCTCTCTAAATAAGCAACAGCTCTTAAAGTACCAGAAATAGGAACTCTGAGCCTTCAAAGGCAAGACTAAATGTGCTAGTAGAAGTGTTGTAGACATTATTTTAAGTAGTCATTACAGCTAGTGCTAGGGAAGGCTGGACTAATAGAAGAGATTGATATTCTGGAAGATGTGAAAAATGGAGGCTTTGCCAGTTCATTATCACAAAAGGGCCCTGTGCTAACACGCTTGTCCTCAGGGATTGTGTCTCCATGGGTACTGCTGCCTCCAGTTATGGTGAACACAATATCTTTGTTTGCTGCTCATACTTGCCACATAGGGTTGCCTAATGGAGTTTCAGGACTGAAGATTGCAGAGGTGTAACTTCCTTTCTTTTTTTGCATGTTTGCTAATTCCTTGCAGAGGCCTCTATCTTGAGCTATGATGGCAGCATGTATATGAAGATCATCATGCCTATGGTCATGCACACAGAAGCAGAAGATGTGTCCTTCCGTTTCATGTCCCAGCGTGCTTATGGGCTGTTGATGGCAACCACCTCACGAGACTCTGCTGACACTCTGCGCCTGGAGCTGGATGGCGGTCGTGTCAAACTTATGGTCAATTTAGGTATCGTATAAAAAACCTTCCACTGCCCTTTCACTGTTATTTTGGGCTTGTCATTAATGTTTTTTTATAATTCTGTTTAATTTTTGTTGGTTTGATTGGACTGATTTCTAAAATAACTGCTGAGATCTTCATAGTGTATTCTCTTGCTGAGAGAAAGTCTCTTCTGCATTGCTGCATGAAGATTTGATGTCAGTTCTCCGTTATTAACAGTGTTGGTTTTTAAGTATGTAAGTTTTTAAGTTTCCTTTCCTGGTCTGGAACTGGTGAGCTCTGTGTGAAACATGCTGCTTGGTCCATCTTTTGATCAGTTACATCCCTCATTCATCCATCATCACTCAAAACAGTCAAAGCCAAATGTGGGAGGGAAGCAAAATGGTTATGGTGTCAAGCAGAAGTCCTGTGGATCCCATGCCCTTTACATAGTTTGGCAGAGTTTGATACAACTTGGTCTATCTTATTAATTTTCTAATTATTTCCATTTTCCAACTGCTATTTGTTTCAGCATCTGCTGAAAAAGCTTGTTTTTTTTTTTTGATCTTTGTCTTTATTAAAGACATCAATAGTAAAAGTGCACACCCCCTTGCCATCCCAAAGGGTTGTGTTCTGTCTCCTTAGAGTTACACTTTCCTAGAAAATAATGAAAAAGACAATTAGAAACAACTCCAACAATAACAACAAAAAAAAAAAATTGGGAGTAAATGTGCTCTTAGATTAGCCACAATCTGTTTTCTTGCCTGAGTGACAAATAGCCTTTTTAAAAAATGTAAGTACAAGTTGAAGCTTTCTTTCACTCTTCAGTGAAGCAATGTGTTGCTTCATGTGAATCCTGGAATATAACTAAGAAGAGATTCTGAGTCAGTGCAAGGTCTTGTTGCACCATAGATGAGCTTGAGTGGTGATTTTAGGGCTTCTCATCCTCACTTGGGCAGTATGTTGTCCAGAAGTTGTCCTCTAGACCTAGCTTGTCTGTAAAAGCAGCAGTTGTGTGTCTTTTTGGCTTTGAAAGTGCAAGATTGGCGCTGGTCACTTTTAATGCTCACTGGCATCTGTTACATCATCACCTAACCTGGAGGTGGAATGTTAACTTACTGCCTGGCATCTAAAAGACATGGCTACAGAATTAACTTATGGTCTACACATGCTTGGAAAGAGATGTGTCATTGGTGGTTTAACACAGGAACAAAATCTGTAAACCAAACCCTGTGTTAACTGAAGGCTATTTTTGCAGGAACTGAAGCAATTTGTGTGCCAGATTTGCCAGCTTTTCAGCTGGAAACTTTTGTGAGGTTGAATACTCCCCCAAAAGTGACTACAGGTTGCATCAGTGAAAACCTGTCAGCACTCTCCTTCTATGCCCAACTCAAAAGAAGGGTAGTTTAGACTGTTGGAAGCTGGATTGTTCTTCACCTCTCCTCTTTTCAGATTTATAAAACTGTCAGATATATCTCTTGAAACTGGACTTTCCTTTTATCAAAAAGGAAGAGGAAACAGAATTTGAGGAGGAATGACCCTTACCAGAGCCATTCATTTTCAGTTGTTTACTGTTAAGTCACATCTGGCTCTTTAAGGAGACTGTTCATAGCCAAAATATCACAAACAAGAAATGAGACTTAGTTATCTGACTCTGCCAAAATCCTCTTACCAGTGAGAAACAGTCCGCAGCACCACCTCTGAAGACCTGAGTATGCTTGGTGCTGACTAGCTACATGTCAGCATCCCCCTGAGTGTCTAACCCTTGACAGATGTGTATAAACAAAGACTGTTTTGAGTGGTGAGTTATTTCATTCTGCTTTTCTTACAAGCCATTTAATACTGTTACTAAGAGCTGTCTCTTCTCTTCTTTGATCTGTTCCATTTGATTACTTATTATCATTTGTGTGGTTATTAAGGTCTTTCCTATGTTGTTTTTTACTTTTATTTCTTTTTTCTTTTTTTCTTTTTTTTAAACTCTTGTTTGTATTTCAGTTGTAAAGCTTTCCCATACCCCATCAGCCATGGTAAATCAAAAGATGGTATTCAACCCTTCAAAGGCCTGAAGCCTGCGGCCCGCACAGCAAACAGCCCTGAGAACAGAGCGCATAGAGCAGCCTGCAGGGGCTGGCATATCCCACTCACCTCCTTAGCCCTCAGTGTCCAAAACAAACAGGGGTTAGAAACATCGTACGGCAGGCAGGGTGGGCACGGGCAACTGGGTGCTTGCTGTAGAAGGTGGGAGGGAAAGGAAGAGCAGTGATGAGTAATTCTCTAAGGAAGAGGAGCAAGGAAATTGTTCCAGACCTTTCCTGTGTGAGTGCCCAAGGCACTGCACTCTGCATGTTGACAGCACGTCTCACAGTAGTTTGTTTGTTGTGTGAAGATTAGAAGTGCAAATGTGATACAAATCTCACTTCTGTTGAGCAGCACTCTGAAGAAATGGGTCTAGAGGGGAAGGAGAGAGAGAGGGAAATTAAACAAATCATGGCTCGGAACATGCTTGGGAATCATTTCTGATGCTGAGAAGATGTGCAAAAAGGGAAAGAAATGGCTGGTCCGATAGGGAGATCCACCTTCACATTTTTCCTCCCATTCGCGAGTGGAAAGGCTCTAGTGTCACTGACTTGTATTAAAGAATAAATAGTTCAAGATTTTTAATCCCTTGTCTGGCTTATCTTCAGATCACTGATGACTAGAATAAATACTTACTGCCTCCTGTTGAACTGAGTCAATTCTCTGGTAAGGAAGTGTAATCATTCCTCTCACCTATCTTTTCCTAAGATACTTCCTCAAGTGTGTGAAAGGCATCTTTGTCTTTCCAAAATGCAAAGTTTCTTTTGTCAGTCCTACATACAAACAGAGCAGGCACATTTTCTTTTTTTCTGTTTTGAATGTATGTGAACTTTTATGCCAGATTTCCTTTTCTGCAAATCATACACTCAGACCTGCAGATATCTGCCCATTCACACTGTTTCTTGTTAATAAATTTCTTTCCTATAATCTGTACGTACAAAGGCCCTTGATTTTTATTTTTATTTTTCTCATAAACATGCAAAAATATTTGTCAGTTGCCAGTTACAGGCGAGTGCACAGTCTGATCACGTGCAAGTTGGAGGGAGGCAAGGAGCCACACTACAGCATGGGTTAAGAGTGTACACAGGACCTCATCTGGTTTCCCAATAGAAAATAACTGGAAGTGAGCTTAGAAACAGTCAGGCTTTGATTATCTTTCTTGTCCTAGTCTTGCCTTAAAGTGCTCTTTGCTCTTCCATAATCACATGTGGATGCTCTTCCAAAAAGAGCAACCACTGTCCTCACACAGCAAAGGTGACTTGCTTTCCTGATTCAAGATAAAAACAGCCTGGGGTCTTAGCAATGTCAAATAAATATTGTTGTTTTCAGGCACAAAGATGCAGATGATAAGGAACACAGGCCTAGTTCTCAGTCTTCTGTCTGCTAATAAAGATATCCCTGTTCAAACAAGGAATCCCTTATGTCAGCTAATTGCAGTGTGGCTATTTAACCTTTTACAAGGGGAGGGTCTTCAGCACATTTTCCAGGTGCTATGCTCTGGAAAACATATCTGAGCACTTAGGAAGCAGTTTCTGGATTACATTAGAAGCTGATAACACAGTTGAGAGCTCCAGATGATGATTGCCAGAATTCTTATTGCCCTGGTACTGTGCAGCAGGAAGTCCAAGCAGCTTTTTTAAAATTATTCCTGAATTCCCAAACTGCTGCTGTTTTGAGCACAAAGACCAGGCTAAACCTGCACCTAACTGCCAGGGAAAGCATCATCTGCTTTAGATTTGTAGAGTTGTACTAGTTTAGAGGAAAAAAAATCTTCCTTTCTGAAAACTGATGTGAGAGGGAGAAAACAGCTTCATGTATTAATGATTGGAAATTGGTTTTGGTTGCTTTGGGCAAGGCTCAGAATTAAGGAAATGAGTAAAACCCGCCTATGCATGTTCTTGAAGGTACTGTGCAAAACATGGTGGTGCTGGTATAGCAGCACAGGCAGATGCACTTGCATGCCTTAGCTGCCATGCAGGATCTCCACTGACCCAACTGGACTAAGTCTGGTTCGGGAGATGGTTCTTCCAGAGTGCACTTGAGTGTTTCTTCCTAGCACCCAATTGCATGGCATTGCAGAGCTTTCATGGTCACAGAATCTGGAGATCTCATAATGCCGTAGTAGTTGTCAAGGCAACCCCCTCAGTGACCTGGTCTCTCATTGTCCTTTGAAATAAACATCTAGCAGCCAGGATAAGGGCTACGCTGGCAGTGGGTGTTTGAAACACTGATCCCTCCCCCTGGAGCAGCCAGTGGCTCGGCCTGAGGGTAAGCCCTGGGACATGTGGCTATCTTGCTGCAAAAAAATTTAAAAATGCATAACTCCTCTGCACACATCAATAACACAGTACTGGTTTTAGTTTCTAACTCTGATGAATGTTGCTGAGGACCAGCCGTGTTTCCCTTTCCAGCACACTTACTGTTTGGCCAGTAGAAATTCCCCTGTTGTTCCAGCTGTAACAACTCTCTTGATCTCACTCGCTTGTAGCGAGACTTGGGGGTCTCTCTCGCTCTTGTTCTTGCTCTCCATCAGGTCATAGTGGGAAGTTCCACAGCATGTATTTCAGAGCTCCCCTTACCCTACCCAACTCCTGTAAGGGATATAGCCACCACTGTATGGTGATCATAGCAATTGCTCCAGGACTGTTTGCTCCCACTTTTCTGTTGCGGTTGACGACACATGACAAACCTAATCGCACAAAACCAAACCCAGATTTTCTCAAGAGAAGTTCTGCTAAAAACAGACTCTCTCTGGCTATGCTGCTCCTGATTGGTGTGTCCCTGCTCATCACAGCTTTTATTTATAGGCTCCTATTCTTCCCCCTCCCTCATTTTTAATGAACTGCATTTAGTTTCAGCTACTGAAGTAATTTTCCTACATCTGTCTCAGTAAGCATAAAATTGGTCAAGTTAAGCAGCAAACTGCATTTTATTTCTCTGCCATTCTGTATAATCTCTCTTGTTGGGCCATATCTCTGTAATAAATATGACCATCCCTGCTGGTCACAGCTTTAGTTGTCCAGACAGCATGTCCAGTAGCATGGTGCTATTATTCCTGGCCTTGATTTTCTGAGAGGTCAGCATGAACCAAGATACATAATAGCAGTGATAAGGTAACTCTTGCCCATGTCAGACACCATGTTCACAAGGCTGTATGTAGGCATTTATAAACAAAAGATCCTCTTATGGGTCATATCCCGAGATATGCTGAGCATTAGCGTGTTAGTGAGAGAAGCAATGCTCAGAAGCCCTCTAACTCAGGCTTTCCTACCTCTACTTGTTTTCTTTGAGCGGATACCTCAGTTTCCATTTAATAGGCATAACTCTTTCTTTCCATGTACCCCTCTTTGTCCCTCCCTTGCCTTTAAGCTCTGAACAAAGCGGTGCCAGCAAAGGCTCCCAGATCTGGCACTTCGCTGTCCATTTCGTCTTCTCCCTGAACGTTACAAGCATCCCATTCAGTCTTAGCGTTCAGACAGGAAGATGAGATCGGGCTCTGAGGAGCTGGCAGGTCTGGGGACCTTTGAAAGAAATCCTCATTCCCCCTGCTAAACAAAAATAAAACCTATTCCCAACCTCCAGAACTAGCTGAAATCTGGGCTGGGCGTTCGTGCGGTTAGCTGTTTGCAAGTGGCCATTTTATGATAGGACACAACTGGGCAGTATATCAACCCTTTCCTCACCTGAATGGACAGTGTAAATGTGCCTGTGCACATACTGAAAAGTGCTCTGGGCTGGGGGGGAATGACAGGTGGGTCTGTCTTTGGGAGAGCTGGAAAGGGTTAAATATTGCACCAACAAATCTCATAGGTTGATTTTACATGTATTCTATGTTGGACAGATGGTATATTTATGCAATAACAACACAAATTAATTCAAAAGAAACCAAGTGTAAAGGTTGACTTTGAGCTTCAAGCTTCTTAGAGAAATTGCTAAAGGTCTTTAAAAAGTGAAATGACACTGGAGTATGACTTGGTTTTGAAGGAGATTTTTGTGCCTTAATTATCAGTTTTTCTATTGTAATTCACATCACGGTCTGGAGTAGAAGATACTCTTTGATGCAGAGGTTTCTATAAAAGAAAAATAGCTTTTTCTGTCAACATGTGGATATATATGTATACTGGTATATCTCTCTATACATATGTGTATATATATGTGTGTATATATATATTTATGTAACAAATATTTATGTAGAATATACTGTACATATACACCCACTCCTGAACTTGTACAGACTGTATATAAGTATAAAATGGCCACATCTCTTTGCGTGTGTCTGTCCCCGGAAGGGTGGACTGATTGTTTTTGGATGTCTGCAGCTGTTACCTTGAAGGATGCAATTTCATCTTTCATTTATTTTTCCCCATCTAGACTGTATCAGGATAAACTGTAACGCCAGTAAGTTTCCCCTCAAGTTTCATTTTGTTCTCTTTCTATATATATTAAAATAACTTTATTTTATTTGATGTTTTATAAACTGTTTTTTTATTTATTTATTTTCTTATTTTCTCTTCTTTTCTTTAAAAAAAAATGCATCTTCTGAAATGGAAGGGCTGGGTGGGATATGAAGCTGGGTGGGGGGAGGGAAAACCTTGTGGTGATCGTATGTGTAAGTTTCATGTTAGGTTTCTCCAAGGAGATGAACTGTTATTTCATAGCTTTGCAGAAGAGCACCTGAGGAACATGATGAGCTGATATTATATTTCACTGGTAACCTGTTGTCTTTATGAAAATTTTTAAAGAACTACATAAGAATAACAACAGGTATTGTATGCACTTCTCCATTACAAAAAAGGCATGTGTGTTTAAAAACCCAAAACCTACTCAAACTCTCACTTGACTTCAGAATGGTGACAACTTAACCTGATATTTATTAAAAGTCGTTTTCATTGGGGTATAGAAGAATGGGAAATGATATCTTACATTTTGATTATATTATCAGGGTTATGTGAGACCCTTTATAGCATTTAGCACTCTTAGGTTTGTATAATAAATTCCAGCTGAATCTGGTTCACTGAAAATCCCTTTCAATCCGTAAAAGAAAGGGAAGAAGGTTTATAAAATATCTGTACAAAATAATAGTAAAATATCATATACAATTTTAGACTCATTGAGCAAACAAAATCTTTTCTGTTCTACTTCAAATTGCTGGTAGAAGTTGATGTTGGTCTCAAAGTGAAAAGCACTTCCCAAAGAATGGAGCTGTCTAGCTCTCAAGTGTGCTTTACTTTACATGAAACAAGATTCCTGAACTGGCAGATCCTCTGTGTTAGATTTTATATGGAAAGATTTATGGAAGGCTAAGCATCACTTTGGAAATGCTGTAAGGGATTAAATGGCAAAGATGGTCCACGTGTTTCCCATGGTCTTTTTGTGCACCAGCGAGCCCCATCTAAGCTAGCAGGAAGGTGGAAAGAAGTGTTACATCCCCAAAAGCAAACAGAGAACTTTTAAGTAGCAGAGCCAATTGTAGCAGCACTGAGAAAATCCTGTTGTAAAGCAGTTTCTTCACAGCTTTGCCATAGTTTTGGACTAAGAGTAGGTTTGTAGTGCTAGACAGCAGTTGTTTGGGGTTTTTCCATATGTACAGTGTTTGCAAAAATTTAAAGGATTCTCTTTGGTTGCAAATAGGAAAAAAACAACAACCACACACATAAGCAGATAATAGATCAGTTTTCCCTTCTGGTCACTGCCAGCTGATTGACATCCTGCATTGCAGGGAGGTGAAAGCAATTCGTTTCTTGGTCTTGCGAAGCGGTCCATGGGAGCATGTAGTCAGGGACAAGCCAAAACTTTGGCTGGTGTGTGATTATTTCAGCTCTGAGCCCTGATACACTGTAGGAGCTTGATCACGAGTTCACAACATTGAGAACTGCAGCTGCCTTCAGCCCTATTGCAGGGCTGTGTGGGATTAATCCCATATGACTCAAAGTTCAACAGCTGTTGATGAATTCCTTTTGCTCTCCAAAGTTTTAACAAGTATTTCAAGATAGAGTAGGTAATAGGAAAAAGTGTTTTGAATCACTGCTAGCTGAGATTGCCAGTTTTTACTCAGCAGCACTGAGGGCATTTGCATATAACCAGGATCTTTTGCTTCCTGAGAGTTCATATGCTCTTGCTGCTTAGCCACCCAAAACTCTATGTAAATACTTGCACCGTAGGTGTTGTTGATGTGTGCCATTTGAGCACCCATATCAGTTCCTCTGGTCCTGAACAACAGTCTGATATCATTGTCATCATCTTCAACTTTTGGCGACAGCTGGCTATTAAAGGCTTAGCTCTGGAAGACTATCTTCAGGTGAGAAAGCAGCTTTAGCAGCAAGGAGCAATGGTCTGTTTTTCATGCAGATAAAAATCTAGATGTAATTGGGAGAAACGTTTAAAAAATAGAAAGAGAGAAAAGAATCCTTTAATCAGAATACTGGGAAGACAGTCTGAATCTAGGGCTTTTGTTAGTTTCCCCATAAGCATCAAAACATCTTGACTCATTTTGCTTCCATGCGTTTTTAATAGTTGAGCATGTTACATTTTTAAATACAGTCTTCCTTTGAAGGTTTCCATTTATTTATTTAAATCACTTTGGATTTTCCTAATTTATTTTTTATGATACTTTGCTGAAAATGAGCAGCCCTACTCCAACACCTTGTTCTGTTGCTGCCTGTTGCAATGACTCCCGTTGTCTGTTCTGCATTCTAGAAGGGAACCTGTTGGGAACTGATTATTAAAAAACTGTATACTCTTGCATGAATAAAATGCAATTAAGCAGTAGCAGACCAAGTATCACTGTAACCATTCTTGCAGACCCACTGAGATTTAGTTGTACAGAGGGAGTTATCCACATACAGATGGGTCTGCTAGGGTCTGTTGGAATGAGCAGAAGTGTTTTAAAGTAACTTGGCAAATGAGACTCCAGATCAGTTGAAGAGTTTCAGGTCAAGCTGTCATCATTGCTGACTGAATAAGAGGAACATGGTGCATGGTTTTAAAGGTAAACAGAGCTTTGGCATCTTGTGAAATGTCTGTATAGGTTAAAGAGCTTACCACAGCGAGCACTGAAGCTCATGCTGTTTGAGAAGAGTACATTGTCCTGGGTAAGCATTTAATTTTCAATACACTTGCTCCTAACTTTCATTAGAAGAATTGAGGGGTTTTTGATTGCATATCTTTCGGTTGTCATTTATCTGCTGTAAAATACTGTTTTCCATTTCTTCTTATGTTCTCTCCGTTTCTCATCACTGTAATACCTCACAGTTCTGAAATGGAAGGCTGACATAATTTCCTAGAATGGTATTTATTTCAATACTTACCCTTTCCTTTCCCTCTTGGATATACCTAAACTGATGTCTCTGTGCCCTGACAGCGTTTGAACTTAGAAGGACACAACAGTGCTGTTGCCTAGACGTACGTAACTGGGTAGTAATTATCTTTTCATCTGAATGCAGCACAAACAAGATCAGGATCCCAAAATGTGAAGGTGCATTGAATGATTCCTCAACATAATGCAGATATAATGGATAGCACAATTTTTGTTGGCTGGATTTATTTGAAAAATAGGTATAGTCTAAATACCCTTAGCATTTTGCATACTTGTGTTTTGCAGAACTAGTCCTCGACTTCCTTATTCCCTTTCAGTTACCCCCATTCCATATCAGTCTGGATGGGGATCATTTTCAGAATCCTACCCAGTATTAAGTGTAGAGGACAGGGCTGTGTGTGCTGTGCAGGTTTACTAGGTTTTGGAGGTGTTTTCACTTCATGTTCTTTCTAGGATACCACTTGTATTATTTTTCATGGCCTGGTTCTCTGTCTTTCTCCCAAACTTATGTGGTGTTTTGGTCACATAGTTTGACACTACCTTTATGGGAGGTTTGATCTTCCAAAAGTAGCTATCTTTGGGACAGTGAATACTTCTGTCATATTGCTTGTTGCTTCATAATGAGGCTTTTTCTTCTCACTAAAGCATGCCAGACAAGCCGTTACCTATTTTCATGTTACTTGTGTAGCCTCAGCAAATCCTGATCCTCTTCTTATACCTGTTGCTAAAAGCACAAATGGAAGAGGATGAAAAATCACAGGCCAATCACTACTAGTTAATCCTGTATCTCTTATGAGGCCTCACTGTTCGCATGTTGTTTCAGATCCAATGAGCTTTGAACTGGTCTTTGGCGATAGAAGAGAGCTAGGATACTAGATTGGGTGGCTCTCCCTTCTCAGTTGCCATGCTTACTGTATTTAGTGCCTTAATTCAATGCAACTTTAATGTTTCATTTTAGTAAGTGACACTATAACAACACAAAATATAAACCTATGGTGTGTAACTCTCTGGGGAAGGTTTAAAGTTTTCCTTTTTTCCATATTATCATAAGGAAATAGGAAGTCATGCTAACTAATAAAAATGTTATAAAACTGAGCGCACTTATCTGATCCCTAGTGATGTTCCTGTCATTTTAATAAAGGCTTAATAGTACTCTAACATGAAAACATTGTTTGGAAAATGAAGAGGTATGATTAAACGTGCACGTCATATTTGTGACTCTAGTATCTTCCAATTCCATTTAAACATAATCAGGAAGAAATGAATGCTTGTGCAGCCTGAAAAGTGACGAGTCATTAGTATGTCATACTGTAGTGGTGAAAACAAAGCTGGTGTGAGTAACATCGGTACAGCTTCACTGACAGTGGTCTCCCCTTCGAGCAGTCTCAGGCTCAGGGTGCTGCTCTAGCCTCGTGCTGCCGCACTGCAGTGCGGAAGAAGGGAAGGGCGCAAGCCTGTCTTTGGATGACTTTTCCTTCTGTCAGGTGATGAAACAGCAGTCCTCCCAGTTCAATGGTAAACAAAGAACTATTAGAGGAGAGCATACCATGTTGCAGCCAAGAGCCTGAGAGCAGTAAGGCTACTTCCACTCCGTGTTTCCAGGTTCAGCCAGTATAAGGTTGAAGATGTATTCCTGGCTGGCACTTCACTAGTGATCACAAGCTTGCTCACAGCCCCATGCTCACTCCAGTCTCTGGCAGCACAAGGATTTGGGCCCTCTCACCCATGGTCTGACTCCAGTTGCTGCACTTATACCACCATACATCCTCATGCACACGGAATAGAGAACCCTCACCCAGGAAAGAGTTAAAAATTAATTTAGTAAGAAGACAGGACTGACTGCACTGATAAGGCACAGGGAACAGCCACCTAAGCATACTAACTGGCTATGTAGAAATGACCAGCCCTTTATATCCCCTCACCCCTCTTTTCCCAAAAAATAAGATTTTGTTCCTTCCAAAATCACCTTAACTCCTCAATTTTTCTGCCTTTGGTTTCTCCCCTAAACATCCCATAACAAGTCTGTCTGAGCCCAAGCTGCTTTTCCTCTGCATCATGTGTGTCCCACCCTAGGCAACAACCC